CTCATGTAAATTTATCTTCATCAATAAGAGAAGCACTTTTAAATTCCTCCTTCTCCTTCCCCCATCTGAGTAAGTTTTCTTTACTCTTCTCTTATGGAGTAGTTTTTTTTAAGGGCGTCCTCGGATGCCTTAAGTAGTATTTATTAAAAGATGCGATAATCATTTAAAGACTTAAAAATTTATTTTTGTATAGTTTTTATCTTCATATAAGTTTATGAAAAAATGTCTAACCGGCTCTGTTAGATTCAATCATCTCATAATCTTATCATGGACTTGTTTGTTTATATTTCTGTTTTTAATTTTTGTCTTTATTTTTCACGTTCATGTAAGCTTATGAGGATATGTCTAACCAGCTCTGCCAGATTCATACATCTCATAATCTTATTTTGAACATTTTCTTGCTATAACCGATTTTATCTCGACTGTCTTCATTTAAGCTAGCCTGCTTTCAGGTTCTTCTTTTGAAGCTAAGTAGCCACGTTGATGAGTCATTATTTTCTCGCATTTTCTTATCTTTCTGTACCAATCTTAATTGTTGCATTGTGCTTAATTATCTATTATTAGTGCGTTTTCAATTATTAGGCTTCATTGGACTGATAATTTTGTTTATTAATTAATTGCAGGTTTCATTGGGTTTATAACTTAAATTTTGGACTTGAAGAGGTGCTGCCACATCACCTGCCATGTCAGCTGCTATTTCAACATCATATTATTGGTTGTCACTAGGGATGGCAAAACGGGTCAGCCCGCCCCGCCTTTGGCCTGCAAAAGCGGGCGAGACGGCTGGCTCGATATAGTCATGACGGTCGTAGACCTTGGCCGCCATAATTTAGAAAAAATAATTTTTTTAATAAATTTAATAATAAGATTATTATTTATTTGTCAATAATTTAATATATATATATATATATATATATTATTTCAATTTAATAATATAAATCAATACATTATTTTAAGAAATTATAATTTAGAACAATAATAAAATTTACATAATAATAAATAATAACAAATATATATATATATATATATATATAAATAACATTAAACTTATAAAATTTATATTTTTTATATTGAAAAAATAAAATACCTATATTTTTTTATTTGATAAAACTTCATATTATTCTTGGTTGAGTAATTCTTATACCTTTAATTCAAGTAATAAGGATAAATATAATCGAGTCTTAGGATAAATAAGGAGAACAAGAGAGAAGGTTATATTTCAGAAGGAGAATATTTTATGTGAAAATGAAACTTTTTTAATTCTCTTTTTAAAAATTTTAACTTTATATATTATCTTTATAATTAATTTTATTACGATAAAAAATTATTTTTTTATTAATTAGCAGTGCGCATGGCTGCCTAGCCTGCGTCCATGGGTTGGCCTGACGGGTTGGCGGGCTTGGCGGGGCGGGTCAAAGTGGGCTGGTGGGCTGAAAACACCAACCCGCCCCGCCATATTATGGTGGGCTGGCGGGCCAGCCCGCCGGACCTAACTTGTTTTGCCATCCCTAGTTGTCACGTCAGCGAGGGATTGTTTTATGTGTAATCCCGTGTGGGCCAGCTTGGGCCCATTCCTAGGGGACTCTAGGGTTAGGGTAGGCTTATATTTCAGAGGAGCAGCAGGAGTAGGAAGCTAGACATTTCAGATATTCTTTTTGTTCTCTCTTGGGATTGTATTCACGGAAAAACATTGAACATTTGGTATTTTACTTTTTGTTCTTTTTCTCTTCTTCTTCTTCTTCTCTACACTGGATTTTCGTTTTTTGCTGCGTTTCTGAATTAATGGAAGGCTAAACCCAGGGTTGGGCCCTTGGGCAGGTTGCAATTCCTCTATTGGAGGTTCTCTATGTGCATTGCAATTTCGTTCTGCTTGGTTCCTCTTTGTTAGCTCTTTGTTCTTGAGCGTTCAATATCCGAGTCATGCTTAGTGACTCTGGTGGTTTGCGTTCAGTTCCTAAGGTTGCCTAATCCTAAGGAAGAGGGTTTGACAGAGTTCACGTTTGCTTAATTCGTGTAAGGAAGTCTCGGGTTAATTTTTCGCTTAGTTGGTTAATATGGACTAAACAAGGATTAAGCTTGAACAAGTTATCTGTTGTAAACCAAGGAGAATAGAGGTGTATTCTGTTCAAGGGTCAGGCCTATTTCCATTACTGTGTTTAATTAGTATTTTTGTTTCGTTTTATTCAATTTCCATAATCTGTTCAACCCCTCACTTACGTGTTTAACCATTTGACAGAAAGAAACGATTATTGGGAGACCACCTAGGAGTCACTTCCTAGTACTACATTTATGTTGTTTATTTGATTGGATACGGCTCCGATCACACGTTAACTTACAAAAGAGATAAATAGTTATAACATATTTTAATTTATTTCATTTTCTGTTATCTCCTTCTTTCCCCCTCTTTTTCATGGGGTTAGAACAATTTTTCCTTGGATTTCACTCCCGGGTTTTTCTGTTTTGTGTTCCATTTTGTTTGATTTTATAATTCAATAAATTAAAAAAATAAGTTTACATTTAGAAATAAGAATATATCAATCTTATATTTATTACGATAATATTATAAAGGTTTATTTTCGTATCTATGATTTAAAATTTTACATTATCATGTTTTTAAAAATATATTAATTCAAAGAGAAGATATATATAAATTTCTTATAAAAAATATAACCCTTCAGTGAAAACTTAAGAATATATATATAAGATATATACTAGTGAAGCAAAATTATGTTATCATGCCATAATGTTGATATAAAAAAATCAATTATAATCATATTTGAATATTTTAGAGATATCTATAATGTTTAATTGTTTGGGACTTAATAGGTACACCAAAATTATAATTAAACACAAGAGACTTAAAAGGGCTAAGAACGTGTAACGGTAGAGGAATCATGGCAATGTAACAGGATATCATTATCTGTCATTAACCTTTGTCGTCTTTTGATATTGAAGTATGACGTAAGAGCTTACATTATGAGAAGTTTTTCAAAATCTTTAAGGACAAAATTGTCTTTATCTAAAAGACTCATTGATTGTGGTAAGACGGAGTTTTTACCATTCCACCTTAGATATGAAGCTGTTCCAAGTCTTACCTAAAGATAGATAGTAGTGATTTCAGCTAAAAACTCTTTTTTGATATCTTTATCTTAGAATTATTCATACCTCGCCGAAATGAATAGAGGATTATCCATATCATAATGTTGATATAAAAAAAAATTCAATTATAACCATATTTGAATAGTTTAGAGATATCTATAATATTTAATTGTGCGGACCGAGGTACACCAAAATTATAATCAAACAAATTTAAGTTTAACTTTATAAAACAGGAAATCAAATTATTAAATTGTAAAATTTTGTTAATTTTAAAATTTTCAAAATATCGCAGTTTGATACTATCACCATATTGAACTTATAGTATTATAATATTTTATTATTATATATATATATATATATATATATATAATGTTGATTAAAAATTATAAATAATTACCAATATTTTAAAACTGTCGCAAATTATAAACATTAAAAATTTTAAATTAATTTTAACATAAAGTATCAAATTGGATTGGTTCAGAAATTTAAAGACGCGAATACTAATTGATAAATAGTAGCACATTGTATTTCTTAACTTGAATATTTGAATCTTAATAATATTATTTTGATTATAAAATAAAGCATATTAAAAAAATACTTATTTTAATCTACTTTTACAGCTTAAAACACAGAAGTTGCATTTAAAACTCGTTCCACACATACGCTTTCTTCAATCATGAACTAAAAAGCACTTGAACCCCTTTCAAAATTTTCTCCACCAAACACAACATGCTTTCTCCTTGAAATAGTTAAATAAATAAAAAGAATAAAGAGGACATTTTTTTTATCAAGAGGATGAAAAAAATTAAATAACAACCATTTAAGTTATTTTTACGGTCCTAATCAGCATTGACCTTTTTCTTTTCTCCCTCCCCTACAAATATTTTTTACCAAATACAATTTTAAATATGCATTCAACCAATATATATATATATATATATATATATATATATATATATATATATAAGTTATGAATGTGCTAACACATTTTAATAAACTAATAACATTACTTGTTTTATTTTTATTCACTAAATTAATGTAATTTAATGAAATCCTATTGAGGTGATATTATATGCAGGTTCAGGGAGCATTGGCTTGTGTTTGTTTAATGTTATTGATGGCATAGAGATTTCCATAATTGGCTTTTGCATTTTTTAATTCCGGTTCGAATTAAAGTCGTAAAATGTAAGTGCAGGAACAAAGGATACCAAGACCATTGGGTACTTTTAACCATTGTTGAAGTTGAATATTTAACTTTGTTGACAAATAACAAAAATAAGTCTTGAAATGAACCCGAGAAAGTTCAAAGTTCAAATATTAACACGGAGTACCAACCTCAAGTCGGAAAACTCAGAACACAGATTCATAGTCTCAAAAGGAGAAAAAAATCAATTCAAATAAAGTGTATTAGTTTCCTAAAAATTCCACATTAGGTAGATTCCACTAATTTTTGTTTAAAAATTTATTCTCTTTTCCATTTGGTTTAGAAAACCTACCTCTCTCTCTCTCTCTCTCTCTCTCTCTCTCTCTCTATATATATATATATATATATATATTCCTGCCAAAGAATGGTGGTAGTGAGTAGAACGCGACAACAGTGTTTTGGTTCCTAATGGAATCGAGAAAAACAAGAGGCATCCGTGCGTTGAAATGTGTGAGTATGTGATGGCAATTTTCTCTTGGAACGCTGGTGCCATCACTCATTCTATGCTTCCTTCACCTTTTACTTTATGCGCAACTACAAAACCATTTTTCTTACTCAGACCACAGTTTTAGCCTCAGATCATTCCTCCTTAGTCTTCACGCTCCCTACCCCACACACATACTATAATCTGTTATCATAAATTCCACCATCTTCTTCACTTGATTACTGCGACTGCAACAAATCATCTTCCTTCACCATGCACAAGAGCGCTTCAGGTTCAACGTTGGGCCCGGGAGGCCTCGACCTGACCCAGGCCTTCTTCAAGCCCATCACCAACGCCGCCCCTCCCTCTCCCACCAAGCGTCACAACAAGATCTCCGTCATCGGCGCCGGTAACGTCGGAATGGCCATCGCCCAGACCATCCTCACTCAGGACCTCACCGACGAGCTCGTCCTCGTCGACACCAACGCCGACAAGCTCCGTGGCGAGATGCTCGACCTCCAGCACGCTGCCGCCTTCCTCCCCCGCACCAAGATCCACGCCTCCTCCGACTCCTCTGTCACTGCCGGCTCCGATCTCTGCATTGTCACTGCTGGCGCCCGCCAGATCCCCGGCGAGTCCCGCCTTAACCTCCTCCAGCGAAACCTCTCCCTCTTTCGCGCCATCATACCCCCCCTCGTTCGTTACTCCCCCGACACCACACTTCTCATCGTTTCCAACCCCGTCGACGTCCTCACCTACGTCGCCTGGAAGCTTTCCGGTTTCCCCTCCAACCGGGTCATCGGGTCGGGCACTAATTTGGACTCCTCACGCTTCCGTTTTCTCATCGCCGATCACCTCGACGTCAACGCCCAGGACGTACAGGTCAACCATTCTCACTTCCCTTTTCCTTTAATTGAAAATTGAGAGAAACTAAATAACTAAGTAGTTTGATGTATCATAGTGTTAACTAATCTCTCTATATGAACTGATCTCCATCATATACGAGCTAGCTAATCTCTAAGACATAATATCGAGTGTTAGTATAAATTTTTTTGTAAATTGGAAAATTTGAATATATAGCATACAGAGATTGATACGAAGTATGAACACCCATGTCTAAAGCTATTTAATAATCTCTCCTAAAACTAAGGAATACTATATTAAATTAGTATTGGTATTCAAATTATGAAATTATCACCGCATTAGGGCAACTTTGAATTAAAGTTTATGATGAGTGAATGATAGATTTCATATGCAAAACAAGTTTGTAAAAGCACTTGCTTTGAATTTAAAATTAGTTTTAGGCAATGTAAGTTCACCAACACGGTTTTAAGAGAAATAAAACATATCCGAGTTAATTGGACTAGGATAGATTTAAATAGTCCAAACTAAAACCAAACATAGTCGTAGTTGGTTTGGTATGGATTATTTCAACTTTTGAAATTCAAATAATGAAATTATGAATTAAGACTAGGAAATTTTGTGCATAGTAAAACTAAAGGAATGAAAGAAAGTTGTGATTGCAGGCTTATATAGTAGGGGAGCATGGAGATAGTTCGGTGGCATTGTGGTCTAGCATAAGCATTGGGGGTGTCCCAGTGCTGAGTTTTTTGGAGAATCAACAGATTGCATATGAGAAAGAGACACTGGAGAATATACACAAGTCGGTGATAGACAGTGCGTATGAAGTGATCAGGCTGAAAGGGTACACTTCTTGGGCCATTGGGTACTCAGTGGCTAACTTGGCACGCTCCATTCTGAGGGACCAAAGAAAGATCCACCCTGTGTCTGTTCTTGCTAAGGGGTTTTATGGGATCGATGGGGAAGTGTTCCTGAGTTTGCCAGCACAGCTTGGTAGAGGAGGGATACTTGGTGTCACCAATGTGCACTTGAACCAAGAGGAGACGCAGAGGCTTGTAGATTCGGCCAAGACCATCCTCGAAGTGCAGACTCAACTGGGTATTTGAATTTTTTCTGTGATGATCACGTGGATGGTTTAATTTAATGGATACTGGTTTCTGTCCTTTAAATTTATCTAGTTCTTCCCACAATCATGATGTGGTTTGGCCGATATTTTTACTTGCTACTGTCAGGGTTAGTCCTTGCCCCTTCTTGCAGTGCAAGTGTTTTGTTGCTTCAATTGCAGGCCGGGTCGTGTGGGATGTGTTTTACTTTTGTTTCTCATTTAGTTTTGATCATAATCAGCTAAGTAAAATTTCCTTTTACAAACTTAATTTAGTCTTTCATATTTGCATTTATTACCGGCTGTCCTATTAATTAATTTAAATTAAATAAAGGTGATCTTGATAGTTGTTCACTTGTATTGTATGTGATGCTTTTAATTATAAAATTTGCATTAAAATGTGAGCCTGTATTCACACCACTTAATATATACTAGTAACTTTAAAATAGTAATTATTTTTTTATTAAATTAATTCAATTCTGTATTATTATTTTTATTATAATATCTCTTGGTTTGATTGAGCATAATAAAACTCTGTACTTAAGTTCGCATTAGGAAAGAAACTCTAATTATGACAAGTTATACAACTATTCAATTTGATGAGGTTAAATGTGACGTAGCCATTCAATTTCTCATTTCTTTTATAATTTTATGTAATACTATTTGAGATAAACATTTATATTATATTATATTAGAAATGTTCATTATTGATTAGTTGGAAAATGATTCAAATATAACTTTTAAAATAGTTGTTATAAAAATTAATAATAGTTTATAATTAGATGATATTGTAAAAAAATTATATTGTTGGTATATTCAAATCACATTAATAAATACAAAATAATAATTTAATTTTATATCAGTATTTTTTTTAGACAATCAATTTTAAAATATTGTTGAATTTAATCATTAAAAATAATACACGTATCACATTAAATTATAATTAAATACTTTTATACTATTTAGACTATTTACTCATTTTATTTTCATCATAGTTTTCAGGCACAAATTAACATTAATAATAAAACATTCTACGTTGGTTTGCTTAAAATTTTGCAACAACTAGTTTTTCAAGTTACTTAGGATTTTTCATAAACATGGATATTAAACTATTTATTATTCTAATATTTTTTCAATAACATAATATTCTAATTATATTTTTATAATTAGAATTTAATTTTTAATAAAAATACTATTAAGTAAAAAATTATTTCTAAAATTATTAAAAATAAATATATATCTAACTCAATCTTAAAAAAAATTATATATATTATATATATATATATATATATAACTTTATTATATTTATAATTTTATTATATTTATAATAACAAACCTTTTAAATCAAGATATTTTTTAATAAAAAAATTTATAATTAAAAATAAATCATCTTTAAAATATTTTCTTTGATGAAGTTATATTTTCGTTTTCAGTAATACTTTTTTTGTGTTTTAACTTTTAATTAATACTTTTTATTGATATTTTTTACTGCAATGTTGATATTATGATAAGATGCAAATTTTTATTAGTTTGTGAAACGAATTATTAATGGAAAATCATATACAAAGTGTATATGTGACAAGCAAATAATAACATCTCCAAATTTTTTTGTACAAAAGCTGATTATAAATAAAATTAAATATTTTATTATGATTTTATATATGAATTATTTAAAACTTATCAGATTTTAAACAATTTATATATAAGATTCATAATAAAATATTTATTTTTAACTCTTGATATCAATTCTCTTAAAAATATTCTAAAAATATCATTGAACTTTTTACCATCTGATACAAAAATGTCTTTCTTTATACTCTTGAAAAAAAAAGAGTTTAATGCTCTATATTCATATCTATGTATTATATTTTTTTATATAATAAAATTATCTTAAGAATTTTTTTTATTAATCAAAAAAGAAATTGAACATTGTACTAAGAAAAGATAATATGTGAGCATACATAGAACAAGATGATAAAATTTTTCCAACACAAAGTATTTTATCTATTCAAGTAAAGTTGAGTTTTTATTATTTTCTCCTGCTTAGAAATATTTTTAGTTTAAAAATACTTTTTGAGGAGGATAAGTATGCATGCTTGGGGTTGAAAGGATAAGCCATGTTTCTAATAACAAAAAGGAAGATAACCCAACTAAAAAGCCCAATTGATGACATATTAAAGGGCAAAAAAGTAAAAATGAATAATCCCCAAAACGAAGTCGTATAATGAGCAAGTGTCACGAACATTAGGTTGAGGGGAAGAACGAGAAGAAAGAAGAATCAGAAGGAAATAATCATCAACCATGGCAGGGAGACTGACGAACGCAGCATCAAGGATCTTGGGCGGAAGCGGCGTCGTTTACCGATCTGTAGCTTCCTCTCTTCGCCTCCGCTCCGGCATGGGTCTCCCAGTCGGCAAACACTATGTTCCAGACAAACCCGTATATTTCGCTAAACTTATCGCATTCGATTTTAGCTTTTTGTGAAAACCTAACAATCAACATCTCTTTTGAATTTGGGGCTTTCAGCTTCCCATGAATGAGGAACTTGTGTGGGACAATGGCACACCATTTCCCGAACCGTGTATAGATCGTATTGCTGACACTGTCGGAAAGGTTTATGTTTTTTCTTTCTTTTATTTTTTTTATGGAAATTTTACATCAACATTAATGCATAAGATTGATTTTTCTTAATTTTTATTTTCGAAACCAGTATGAAGCATTGGCCTGGCTCTGTGGGGGATTGAGTTTTTTTGCGTCTCTGGGATTGTTGGCTGTGTGGAATGACAAAGCCTCTAAGATACCGTTTGTAAGTCTTCTACTTTAACTTTCTCCTTCTCAATCCCTGGATACTTTGAATTGGTTCTGTTTGCTATTTATTGGGCGTTTAGGATGTTGCTGATTTCAATTCTATTATAGCATTTGTTCATAAAATATTTTAAGCAAAGCTGATCGTGGTCGACATTGGTTAGTGTCACAAGGTTATAATTATTCTCTATGTCTCTTCAGGCTAGGCCAACAACAATCTCAATCTGAGATTCTCAAGACAAGTATTATTTGATCACTAAGTCACTCTAAGCTTTCTACACTGTAGTGAGATGATTTATAGCGGATAACTTACATAGTGAAAATGCATAAGTTAAGCACAATGCAATTTAACTTTGCACATCAAATATTAAGGCGTACGAAACAATGTGTATTGTAGCTTCCAGTCAAGATTTTGACTGTAAGAAAATTTTCAACAACATTTATGGAGATGCTGGAGACTTGAGTATTTATACTTCTTGATGAAAATGTTCATTGTAAGACAAAATATATTCGTTCTAATGAAAATTGAATAAACATATTTAATTTCCGTGTTTCTTGTGCCTGATTTCAGTTTAATAAGAGAGGAAAAATGTGTTTAAAGAATATAAAAAATGGCATTGTGTGTTTGACGTCTTCTGATCTCTTTGCTTGATAAATTGACCAAAGGAACATATAGCTGTACTTATCCAAGCATAGAATTTGTTCAAAATAAATGAAAAGGTATTTGATCGTTGAAAAAAACATATATAATAAGGGATTTCATTTTATGGTTTGAAACATGTAAGAATGGTTTGAACCTAGCACGAGACTGAAGATGTTATTAGAGATTTTAAAGTTCAATAAGCCTTAATTGTCACTCGTGCGCTTTTAGATGATAGGATATTGTTCCCCATTCTTCCTCCTCGCTTTCAATTAGTATAACAGCAACTATTTGCAGAACCATATACTAGGAGTGCAGCATTCATAATTCATATGTAATTAAGATATAGCAAAAGTAGCGACTCAATCTAGCTGCTAATGGAAATCAGATTCCCTGAGATGATTTTCAACTAACCAATGTTCTCATTATAACCAATGTTCTTAATTTTACCTCTCTAAATGTGAATTTACTTTTCTGTTTGGATGAAAGAAAAATATAGTTGTTTGCTAGAGCTGGGCATGGTCATGGTTATGGGCTAATAGAGGTTTCTGTCTTGCATGTGTCCTTGTTATAGGCTATGTATCCCAATTACACTATTGCAACTACCTTTGCTATTTTCCTCGTCTGATGTTTCATATTCAATCCTAATTTTTGCGGCTATTTGGTACTTATGTTGATTGATTTCTGTGTTATATTCTTTGTATTAGACACCCAAAGTATATCCATATGACAATCTACGAGTGGAGCTTGGTGGTGAGCCATAGGGAGATTCATGGCAATGAGCTGATGCGAAGTTCCTATTTGATGTAATGCTCTTTAACGTTTATTAGTGTAGTTCAAAATAAGGGATCGTGGTGGACTTGGTGAAACCAACTAATGGAAGGGCCGAATCTGGTTCTTTTGATCATTCATGCTTATGGTGACTATTGTGAGGAGTGGCCATTATTATGCACAGCTTGTGTTTGGATATGTACTTGTGAAATTAGTTTTGAAATATGATTTTATAAAATAATTTCAAGTAAACTTGATCGTGATTTTTGTTTGGTATCATGTATTTGGAAACTGATTTTCGCAAAGAATGTTGTTTGGAAATTGCAATCATAATGGACTGAGTGTGTAATTACTAAAATGAGTTTTAATGTTCATATATAATATTTTATGCAACTGTCATGTGTAATATCATTAACTATAATTTGATTATATGTTAATTCAACATAAAATTAGGACTCATAATTGGAAATAAAATGTTTTCATTCTTATAATTAAAAGTTATTTAATGTATAGAGTTGTTGTGGTTTATCATAATAATACAATGAGAGCTTAGTGTAATCAGCGATTAGCAAAGGGAAAGAAACACAACTGATGTACTCTGTTTGGAGTTCGGAATAATCTTACAGGATTAAAAAGTTAAATTTTATCAATTACCAAATAATTAATCCTGGTTATTACAAGTTGATATGGTTTTGTAATTTTTGTTATTACACGTGTCCTACGTATTGATGATTCTCTTCATTCTTACATATACTCTCTTAGCCTTTTATGTAAACAATAGGATGGAATTAATGAAACATTTAGATGATATCTCCGCTCATTTGGGAGCTCTGTTGGCCAAATTTATCTCACAAATATTTATGTTTCTACTTTATATTTTCGTTTCTTCTTTTTCTCATGGTTGACGAAAGCTCTACCTATGGTGATTACCTCATTAATTCCTTAAATCCTCCATATCTTTATGCTAACAAGTCATCATCACAAGCATTAGTTTTGTCACCTCTAAACGGACGAAATTATCATTCATGGACAAGAGATATGAAGTGCGTCCTTCTTTAAATAAGCTTAAGTTTGTAAATGATAATATTCATTCTTCATCATTAATAGATATGTACCATGGAGCGTGGAAACGATGTAACAATATTGTTCTTGCTTGGATTCATGGATTCATAGATTTATTGATGGTTCCATTCTACGATCCATTCTCTGGATGAATCAAGCATTAAAGGTTTGACATGATCTCCATGATCGGTTTTCTCAAGACAATATGTTTAGGATTTCTGATCTCTAGGAAGAATTTTTTCGCCTCTAACAAGACACCCTCACTGTTAGTCAATATTTCACTCAATTAAAAAGTCTATGAAATGAATTTGAAAATTACATACTTGTTCTCTATTGCAAGTGTTTGGTACCTTACACATGCAAAACCACTCAAGCTTATAAAAGATATAGAGATCAAGACTACATTATTCGTTTCCTCAAAGGGTTAAATGAGCAATTTTCACATGTCAAATCCCAAATTATGCTTATGGATCCCTTTCCTCCAATAAATAAGGTTTTCTCTCTGATTGGCCAACAAGAAAGGCAAATGGTTACTATGGAAATAACTGAGTCATCATATGATGCGAAAACTTTTGCTGTCAACACCAACCAATATTTTGGATATGATAGAGGTCATGGAAATAAAGGAACAGTTCGTAACACAATCGGAAGAGACCAAAATTTTCCCAACAAACTTTGTACTTATTGTGGAAGAACCAATCACTCAATTGATACTTGCTATTTTAAGCATGGGTTTTCTCCTGCATGGCAACGGGGCGGGGGTGGGTTTTGCCTCCCCGATCCCTGTCCCCGACTTTTTTAATCATCCCCGTCCCCACCCTCGATCCTCGCTGGTGTTAGAAATTAAGTCTCCATCCCAGTCCCAGTTGGGTTTCGGGTTCTCCGCTCTGTCTCGTCCCCGATTTATATTATTTTTAAAAAGATAATTACATTTATAATAAATTAATTTTACTATCTATTTTTTATATATAAATAAATATTTATAATTTTATAATTTATAATTATTTTTAATTAAATATACATTTTAATTTATTATATTTATATTAAAATATGTATGTAAAAGAAATATTTAATCATTTTTTATTTATAACATTATTATTATTATAACACTGTATTCAAATATTTAAATACTTATAACATTATTATTATAATACTATATTCAAACATTTGATTATATATATAAGTTAATTCATTTTTAAGTTGTCATTTAAAAATATGAAATATATAGTTTATAAAGAAATATTTAATAAGTTAATTCTTATTCAATTAGTTTGAAGTAATAAAAGTTTAAATTATCAATTCCTTTAGTCCTTTAAAATACAATTATTTTATTAAGATAAAATTTGATATATGATAAATAAGAATAATAAGATAAAAAAATATGACATAATAAAACCTAATAAATATAAATTATAAATAAAATAATATTAGTTACTACTAAGATTTATGTAAAATATTTAGAAAAAGATAAAGAATAAAAAAGTTTAACTTTGTATTCATCAAATTGGTTGAAAAGATAAAAAAAATTGATGGGAGAGATTAAGGAAATGTGAAAAAACAGAAAGGTAAAAGAGAATAATGTAATAAATTAATTAATATAAAAGATTAAAAAAGACAAAAAATTAGAAAGTGGGTAGAAGAAAAATAAAAATTGGTGAAATATAAAAAAAATGACCTTATATGTAATAGAAAAAGAAAAGGAAATATTTTTAAAATATTAATATTTTAAAATTTAAATTTAAATATAAAGTCGGGGCGGGGATGAGGTCGGGGTGTGGATTGCATTACCCATCCCCGCCCCCATCCCCACCCCGACTTTATAAAGCGGGAAAAACCCGAACCCGCCCCGACCTTGGTCTACTCGGGTTTTCCCAGTCAAACTTAGAGCGAGAACGAGACGGTCCCCACGGGTACGGGTTTAATTGTCATCCCTACTAACTACAAACCTAGACAAAGCAATGCCAATATTGCCACCTCAAATGAGGATTCTACCACAAAAAAAAGGGCCTCCAACCCAGTTAGGAAATACTATCCTAGGTGTCAGTTTTACTCAAGAGCATTATCAAGGTTTTCTTAACTTGCTTCAACAATCCAATTTAGCTAGCTCCAACCCTTCCCATGTTTCTAATTTGGCCCATACCACAACTTTGCATACTCATTCACCTTCTTCAGCAGGTATACAATGTGATCAATGACTCATTGATACAAAGGCCTTCTGGTCATGACTTTTAATCTTGCAAACTTTCTTACTTTTTCTGAAATTTCACCTATTCTCATTACCTTACTTGATGGATCCAAAATTCATGCACAAATTTTTTGTATTGTGCAACTTTCTCCCTTTTTAACCTTAAGTAATGTCTTATACATACTTGACTTCAAGGTCAATTTAATATTGCTACAAAACTTATTGCTAAATCCAATTGTTACCTTGTTTTTAACCTTGAATTTTGCTATATCAAACAGACCTTCAACCGAAAGACGATTGGTACAACTAAACAACTAGATGGATTGTATGTGTTAATGTCTCAAGTAGTTACTTCACCAACCATCAACTCAACTTATTCTCTTTGTTCTTATAACACAGTTTCTACCCCTAGACATTGACATCTACGACTTGGTCATGTGTTAGATTCAAAATTAAAATTATTATCTACACAGTTTCCTTTTGTAACCTTCGAGCATTCCTACCCTTGTGATGTATGCCAATTTGCTAGACAAAAGAAGCTTCCTTTTGTTTTTAGTATGACTAAATGGACACAAACTTTTGATCTTTTATATGTTAATATTTGGGGACCATGTTCCACTACTTCTATTTTAGGTTATAAATATTTTTTAATCATTATTGATGATTTTTCTTGTTTTACATGAGTTAAATTAATGAAGCATAAAGGTGAAATCAAAGATCACTTAATTTTTTTTGTTAATTACATAGAGACACAATTTCATGCAAAATTTAAGGTAATCCAAAGTGATAATGAACCAAATTTTTTCATGATAGATTTTTACCTTGCCAAGGGAATTTCCCATCAAACTATATGTGTTGAAATGCCTCAATAAAATGGTGTAACTAAATGAAAGCATCAACATATCACACATGTTGTTTGCGTATTGATGTTTCAAACTAATTTACCAAAATCTATTTGGTTTTATGTTGTCATATATTCAATCTATCTCATTAATAAATTACCTACACCTGTATTACAAAATCAGTGTCCTTATACTGTTCTTAATAAACAATAACCTGACTTGGATCATTTAAGAGTTTTTGGTTGTTTGGCCTACTCTACTACTTTGGAACATGGTCGAACCAAATTATCTCCAAGGGCTAGGAAAATTGTTTTTATCGAGTATAAAGAAGACACTAAAGGATACTTGTTATATAATATTCAATCCAGATAAAATTTTGTCTCAAGAAGTATAGTCTTTTATGAAACTTCCTCAATGAGAATAAATCATTTCAATCTAATTACTGATACAACATCACACCATTTCACAATCTCCTAGACACTCCATGAGACAAAGACAATTTCCACACTACTTGAGAGATTATCACTACTATTTGTTTGTTGCTTCCCATACCAATTTGTCAATTGGTAACCATTCTTCCTCTATATATTATCTTTTATCTGCTTTTCTTTCTTATGAAAAATGCTCCTCCAATTATAGAAATTTTTGTTACTCTGTATCCTCCTCGATTGAACCAAAAACATTCATTCAAAGCTTCTAAAATGGCATGTTGGGTGCAAGCTATGAATTTTGAGATTAATGTTCTTCAACAGAACTACACTTGGGAGATAGTTGATCTTTCTCCCAATAAAAATCATGTGGATTGTAAGTGAGTTTACAAGTTCAAATTCCATGTTGATGGTAGCATATTCTCTCCTGTTCTAAAACTCACAACAGTAAGAGTCATTCTTGCCATAACTATTGC